GGTCCACATGTTGCCGGTAAGTTGGGCTGCCCTGGCCCGAAGAACCCATTGATAGCGCTCAGGGGCTTACCGCAGGCATCAAGGAAGTTCTTCTACCAAGAACAGTTTTTCTTGTGTATGTCTTCTGATTTTTTTGTAAACATGAAATTCACAGGCTGCGTTCCAGTAAACTTCCGGTTTGTTTTGCTTGTTCAGATTGATCGCAAAATTTAGAAGGATCTTAAAGTCTATCCAAATTTATATGTTGAAGAATTTAAATCTCCTTTGATAATTTGTCTAAAAGACGCCGAGCCTGTATGGGGTGACGCACGCATTTTAAAAACAAGGGGTCATTGTCCGCTGAAGGAACGCCCCAGAATGCATCGCGTTTCCTGCCAATCTCACCTCTGCGGCGAGTTGGAACAAATATGTGTACGTTGCCGGTCAAGCAAATTTGAAAATTATTGTTGCAGAGGAATATCGATCATGCTACAATAACCTATATATTCATTATCATTTTTACAACAACCCCAACTGATCATAAGATGGATTGAAATATAATATAATCTACAAGAAAGTTTCCCAATGAAAGAAATGCTTGTGTTGGTGTTTGCACGCCTGCGGTGCGACAACTGCTTTTGGAATTAATTGACAGCGATCCCTTCCTTCCGCTGAAGGTCCAACCACACCATTGGCGTACGGTCAAGCTTGATTCTTCACCCTTCGTCATGCACCAGCCGTTTGATGTTGGCTAATGCTGATGCGAGTGACTGAGCTACTGTAGTCCGAAGAATTTTGCAACAGGTAGACTATCAATGATTGGCTAGAAGTCACCGTATGTGGACATTTCTATCATATTATTGACTGTCACACCTTACGAAATATTGCTGTTGTTTTCTTAGGACATCTGGTGGACAACGCCACGCACTTTATTGTTAGGCAAAGGTTGTTATTGTTTGGTGAGGTTAATGAATGAATGAAGACCTTTATTGTACGCAAATACCCACTGGGTTCAGTACAGGTCACAGGAAAGACGTCACAGTTTGCAATGAATATATACAATGTACAAGCTAGTGCTAATTCTAAGTACTATGGACATATAGTCTAATAATTACGATAATTTGGTTTCTTCTCGCTTCTTAGTAATGATGTAGATATAAGTACAGATATGTTTTATAATCGAAGGTTTGTCTAAGATCAATGTGTTCATATTAAAATTTCCCGCGTCGGCGGAGTGCTTTTCCACCGAACAGGTTACTTGCTCGCGTTGTGTTGGTGAGTAGATTGTTTAATTAAGAAGAAAAGGCTTAAACTAACTAGTCTGACACTGTCTGAAAATTATGCATAGTAGGCAATGTCAAAGAATTTTCTACCGGAGGACATGAAAATCAAAGACTTTACCGCACAATCAACATTTTCTTTGTCGGTTCATACGCCGACATTTTACAATATTCCAAATGGCTATAAGTTTGTTCTACGAATAAGACAAACTACAGACAAATCATTCTCTGTTTTTTTTTGGTAGACTTCTATTTAAGCAAAAGGTGCCGATAATTTAGGAAATATTTATTCTCTGTACATAGCTATGTGCATCATGCTATGTGTAATGCAAACCTTTTCCACGGCGCTGTGTGCCTGATGATCTCCCCTGACTACTGCGATCACTTACCTTTTGCCGCCTTGACCGCATCGACCGGTGGGATTCTAGCTGAAAAAATGCTGCACAGACACTTATAAAAAATTACCAAATGTCCTTGCAAAAGCTACCAGAAAGATATGTCTATACGTGTCTGTGGAATATACAGTTATAACCGAAGAACACTTAGTCTACTACATGTATATTGTTTGCTTTTTTTTTTACCGACGAGCCGGACAGGCGCTCTGGCCGGTGCTCCGTTCGTGCAAACCAGGTTTAAAAATACACAGAAACAAATATTTTCACAAAGACCAAGTAGGTTACTATATACTTGATGATGTACATTGTATATGTTGTAAAACCAGGGGTCCGACCGTCGTCACGCTGATTACAGTGTCACAACCCACTTGGGAGCCTGCACTCAGGTGGGCTCGGCGGCGGGCCGACTTCAGGCGGTTGGCCCTGCTGTTAGTGGCGCCGCAGGTCATGCGCGTTCCGGTTCTTGGGTGGAAAGTTTCGCACAGATCGCGATCTGCGCGTTTCCGTCTTCAGGGGGACAAATTCGCACACAAAGGATGGCATGCGCCGCCCATATGGCGATCTGCGCGTTTTCACTCTCAGGTGGACAAAATCGAACACATAGGGCGATCTGCGCGTTTGCGCTCTGAGGTGGCCAAAATCGACATGCGATATGGTGAAACGCGACCTTCGAATTTCTCCAAATCGCATACCTAGGTCTAGCTCTGTGGCAACAAGTCACAGGCCTGGAAATATGTTCAGTTCTCATACCTCTAGGAAATATATACATTTTTTTCAAATATCTTTCTCATTATTGTGACTTTCTTGCTGATTTTGTCTAAGCATTATGTGTCAAGAAAAAATGTCTCTTTAAGCTCATCAGGTGTGGTGCATAGTTGGGACACTGCAAAGAACTGGCAGGAAGTCAGAATGAAGTATTTTCAGTGAGGTTTTACCTGTGATTCTTGCATGTTCCTGTGGAAAGGTTGTACTGACAGACAAACCCATGGTTTCCATCCTTGTCTTGCTTGGGGCTAAACCATGCGACGGCTGTGGTATCTGCCACTGTCAGCAACATCAGTTCAAGGCCTTGCACTTCCACTGGTAGAGGTAAGGAGGCATTGCTGAGTGCCTCTGAACCTTGGCAAACTTCCCTGGCTGTGGGTCTTCCTACTTTTCTTGAAGCAGCAAACCCTGAGGTTGTGAGAGGCTTTCTCATGTAGCTGAGATGCATTCCAAGGTCCTTTCCTCTTTTCTTAAAGGAGGCACTAATCTCTGGCACATCTTCAAACCAGTACCGTGCTTCCTTTTCTGCTGCAAAGTATGATGGGGCTGGGTGGCTAACACCTGTCTTTCTTCCAGACCGTTGGAAGAAACTTCTTTCCATCACTTTCCTTTTGACCTGCCACAAGTGACTTTTCCAGCTTCTGTCAGCTACTTCTCTTGACAGAAACTGAAAAGACCCCAAGTCATCTTCATTGATGCCTTCAAACCTTCTGACTGGTTGATTCTGGTCCTCTATTACAGAGCAGAGGTGGTGGGGGAAAAGCGTGAAGTACTCATTCAGATTCACATTATGAATATTGCTGCTGTTGCCGACTACAAGTGATGTCAGGTTGTTGGAAATATCAAAACATGATAAGTTTTGATGTTCTTCAGAAGCAAGGGGCTCGTTTCTGACAGACAGGTACTTGTTTATGACAACTGTACCTAGCTTTCTACCGGATGCCACAAAAAAGATATCTGGATTGTAATGTAAGGAAATAATTCTGAAATTGAATAAAATGAAGAAGTTACATTAAAACTTGTTATACATTGTATATATTCTTATGTAGGTACCGGTCTACAACACCTAACATGGTTTCTAATGTCAAGTTTTACCTTTGATGTTAAGATCATCATTACCTTTGTGTATGCAGGTACCGGTATTGTTTTGTGTTTGTTTGCTTGTGTGTTTGTACAGTTGAATGACAGCACATGGTTGGGAAATTCCCTAACCACAGACCACAAAAGGTTAGACATGGGAACTTATCCTCCAGAAGCTGGCCAGGATCCAGCAGGAAGTTGGCCAGGTGCCAGTGGGAAAATCTACTAGAAATAAACAAAGAAATGCAAAATAATGATTAAACAAGAAATTCACAAAAACTAACTTTAAACATTTCATGTTTACAATGCTAGTTTTAACAGACCTTGTGAAAGGATACCAACAACTCCATCCTCCTGCAGACAAAACAAGATCCCAGACACAACCTTTGTCTGTTTGACATCTACAGCTTCATCCTGAAGCTTTATCTGGCTGATGACAGTAAGTACTTCTTCACTAACAGCCAGTTTACACAGGAGTCTGCCAGCAACTAACACAGTCACCACATCTGCTCCTACCTCCACAATATCCACAGCACCTGGGGACAGGTAAGGTTTAAAAGATTAATTAATTGATTGCTTTTTGTTTCTTTGAACTGATTGATTGCCCTGGATGCTTAGAAGCATACAATGTCATGTCATACTATTCTTTGGCACAAATTATGTTGACCACATATTACAACATTCAATGTGTAACATTCATATCTAGGTATGGAAAAACACAGAAGCAGTGCATGCAACATTCCTATGGTGCCAATGGCTCCCAATGTTCTCCTCAGCAAGGAGGTTCAATCCCCCTCAGGAAAGACATTTAATAACTGAACATGAACTTCCTCAGGTGAAAATGAGTATGTAGCTTTGGTTAGTCCTCTTGAATGCCAGGTGTCTTGTGTTTGAGGAGAGAGCTCAAACCTCGAGCATGATGTCAAAGAACACACCACATTTATTGATAAGAATGGTGATCATCCCACTGTGACCTGATTAAACTAATCCTATTGGACTTACCCATCTTGTACTTCCTGTCCAATACCAGTATGCTACATTAGGCAGTTTATCATTACAAAAAAATCATACCTGGGCCTATTACATCCTGAACACAGCAGGAGCCCAGACATGTTGTAGTCAGTTCTGTAGACTGGCCACATCCAACACTGTGCAGCTGCAGGGTACCATTAGTCGTCACCACCGCAATGGATGAATCAGCAGTGCTGTATGGACCCACACTTGAGGAAGCCCCTCTCTCTTCCCATTTGAAACTGCAGAGAGGTATGACAGTATTTGGGTGTGTCCAAAACCTTTTGTGTTTTAAACCTACGGATTTGAATTGTGTTCCATAAAATACAGAAAGGTACAATATATAACATGAAATTTAATGTTATGGTGCAGTTTTCGTAGATGCTTCCTCTTCATACATGTCCATTATCATCAGACTGAGAATATCATAATGTCGCTAACAGAAGGTGAGGTACATACTAGTAGTAGTATCGTATGTAGCCGTGGCGACTCTTGATTCGGGCTTACATAATTGCATTACCCTCAGCGTAATGCAATGTAAGCCCGAATCAAGAGTCGCCACGGCTATATCGTATGTAAATCATAACTCCGCCCATCATCACCATTTGTTTTCTTTGATATGTATGAGGGTCTGCATGCTCTTTTCCGTAAGGCGTAGGCAGGCCTTTTTAATTTCCCGTAATTCGTAGGGAAGTTATCTTATTCACCGTAATTCGTAGTGAGGAGGCGAAAATTTCCCGTAAAGCGTAGCCAGCGCATTTCACGTAAAGCGTAATCGAGCCTAAAAATTCCTCGTAAATCGTAGTCTGGACTCCCATTTTTCGTAAGCCGTAGCGGACGAACCAGCAACCAGCGGATGACCTGTTGGGTCAACGTCGTACCCAGGATTTCTATTGTCTAACCTGGACACGAGAGCACCCACGACATCAGTGGAGTTCTGTGCTATTATTGGTCAGTATTGGCCGGGTGGCGGGAGCACATCTGGAGTCAATCTCAGCCGCATCTTCATCTTGTCTGTCCCTTTCTTGCCTGTCCCATCTGGGTCCATGTGTGCGGTACAATCCCACCATGGCTTACGCGACACCCGTGATTGTGCGCATTTTATATCGCATACGGGGTCGATTCTGTGCCAGAATTTAGCGTAAAGCGTTGCCGGCCTCCCGGAATTTAACGTAAAGCGTTGCGAGCCTCCATAAATTTAGCGTAAAGCGTAATCAGCACCCCCCCATGCAGACCCTCATGTATACCTGACAGCTGATCTTAAACTTTAACATAGTTCTCACCAGGCTGTTTGAGCGTAGGGGCCCCCTACGCTGTGATTTTGACCCCCTATGCTGTGATTTAGCCCCCTACACTGTGTTTCAACCAGCGTAGGGGTGTTTTTTTGGGGCAGAAGCTTCATTAATCTTTAAAAAAATGAAAATATAACTTAAGAATGAAGCTATATCAAAGGGAAAACAAAATCTGTCCCCCAATAAACAATAAATAGTGTCTTAAGTGGTTAATATGAGTTACAAAATTTTTTTGGGAGAATATCAGATGCATGTTTTGGGATATCGATGCGTGACTCGCGCCGCAGAAAGTTGCCTTTCTATACCTGACCCCTACGCTGTGAAAAAATCCTGGTGAGAACCCTGTTTAAGTTAAAGTTTATAGCAGAAACAGAGAGACGGGTCATTTTGACTTACACATGTACATCACTATAGTTCCGATATCTACCAAACAAGTGAAAATATAATACAGGTAGATTGTTTAGGAGCTGCAAAATCATTTTCTCAACTGAAACGAAACTTGACGAGAGCTCACCATCTGATATCCCTGAGACAGGATCTGGTCTGTTCACATCCTCCTAGCTTCAAAAGGCTTATCGTGGAATCCTCATTCAGAAGGGCAGTCGTTCCTATCTTTGTGCAGATTTTGGCTTCACGGACGTGTTGAATATCCACAGAAGTCTGACGTTTTTGAAGAACAAACTGCAAAGTTTCTTCCAGTGCCTCCATTTTGTCTCGTGACCCATGACCTTCGAGTCCTGGGTAACGGCTTCATTTAAGTTGTCCCGAGTATGCAAATGAGGGCGTTCACATGTAAGACATTACACAGCGGTCCCACACGTATGCACCCCTAACTATTCTTGCACATCCTCACATATTCCCACTAATCCTTCCCTATCCTTACACATCCTCACACACCCTCTGCTATCCTTACACATCCTCTCCCATCCTCCTCTATCCTTACACATCCTCACACATCCTAACCAATCCTCCCCAATCCTTACACATCCTTAGCCATCCTCTCCCATCCTCTCCCATCCTTACACATCCTCTCCCATCCTTACACAT